CCAGAGCAAGCCCTGCCTGCTACCTGCCCTATCCAACCACCACTCGCACAACTCCTCTTCTAGCTAAGGCACCTTCTTTCCCCCAGGCCCATTTAACTTCAGAGGTTTTTCTGCAAACCCAGCAGGTTATTTTTATGTTTTTTTTCCTGCATAGGCAATGTTCTCATCAATTTCTAATAAAGACAGGCATGTTGCCTGGCCCCAGCACTTAGAAATTACAACCAGAACAGAACACAGGCAAGAAAATCAGAGCAATAAAATTCTGGGGTCACACAGAAGAATAGCGTGCACTATGAATTTTTCCCCTGCGTTGTTTTAGGTGTCCCCTGTGTACTGCAGCTACATTTCACAGAGGCAGAGGAGATGGGGGAGGAAAGGAGTAAACCAGCACGAAGGAAACTATCTGCAGAAGACCATCGTGTCCCCTGCCAGCTGTACACCTGCGTGGTTTTTCTTACTGATCGCCTAAGGTTAAGTGCAGGACAATGCTGTACTCCCTAGTTCCCGCCTTTAAAAAAAAAATAAAAAAATAAAAAAATCACATGACTCTGAAGTCCTTAGCTGACTTTGGAAAAGCCCAAATCTTGTCTTCATACTGACTGGGGTATTTTACAAATGCCTCCAAAATTTGGCACTCTGACTCCAAAACCTGTTCGGAAAATGGGATTTAGGCACTCAAACATTTCTTTTCAGCAGCTGGCCACAGCACAAGGAAAACAAAGCTACTTTTCCTCCTTCTTTTATATTTATATAAGGAATTATTTTCCTTCAGAGCAGGCATTTTCCTATAATAGGACTTTTAAGTCCCCCATACAATTGATAGCAACAGAAAATTCACACAAATAAAACTGTATTAAAGTCTGTCAAATAGATTAATCCCTTTCTTTTATATGCCATGCCTACACAATTAAAGAAGATTAGGAGGTCCCATGCAGTGACAAAAGAAGGAGGAAGATGGCAAAATACTAATGGTGCCAGCAGCACCGCTCGGGCTCTCCTCTCTGGAGCCCCATCAAAGCCCAGCTCCTGGAGCTGTGCTGGGGTTGCACAGGCTCAGCTTTAAGACCATCAAATACAGGAGCAATCGAGGTGGGTTAAATTCAGGCTGTCAGTGTATTTCTGCATTTTCAATCCAGCTCAAGGACGCTGGGATGCCATAAATCAGAGCTGGCTCACAAGCCCCTGCGGTTATCACCCCTTTTGTGTCTTCTGGAGTCACGCAGTGATCACTGCAAGCAGGGTAAAGGCAATGATGCAGATTTTACCTCCAT